GAGGTTAAATTTTTAATGTTTTATCAATTTAAATATAATGCAATCATATTTTTAAAATTTTAGAAAAGAAAGAAAAGAAAAATCTATCGTCTTGTAAAGCAATCCAGTTAATGTTTTGTGCAGCCCCTATATATATGAGCTCTTGCCAGTTACCTGCATAAGCATATATTATTAAAACTCTCCAGCCTATTTGGATTCTAGAATAATACATTCTGTTGCTTTCCCAATGTTCTGAAATTCTACAACCTGCTTTCATCAATTACGTGGAGTCCTGAAGGGACAAACAGAAAAGGACAGAGTCAGACAAGATAACTGTGACCAGTAGAATGGGTCAGGGGAGCATTTATTATCTTGCTTCCTCAATCCGAAGGAATTAGCAATTCATTCGTTGTCCATTCAGCAAGCACTTACATTGCAGTATCATGTGCCAGTGTGCCAGGCACCGTACAAAGCTCTGCAGACAAAATGGTCAAGACCTACTACCTTTTGCTAAGGAATTTATAGTGCAGTGAAAGGGACGAGCATATAAATGCATATTTTTTATGTTGTGGGAAAACAGCAAAAATGATCTTCTAAAACCTAAGTTAGTTGACTCTTGCTTAAAACCCCCATGCATTTAGAATAGAACTACTTACCACGGTCTTAGATCTGGCCTCTGCCTGGCACTGGGACTCCCACGTCCCTGCCCATATCCTACCCTTTCTGCATTTCCTGTTCCTCAGACCTAACCTCATTCCTGTGTTATGGCTTTGGCACTTGGAATTCCCTCAGCCTTGAACATTCTGTCCTCAGATCTTCTTATTGCTGGCCCTAGCATGCCATTCAGCCACGAGCCTAAAGTCCTCTCCACAGGAAAGTCTTCCCTGACTGTCTAATTAAAATTGGCCCTTGCCCTTACCCCACCCACCTGTCACTCTTTAAGTATTACAGCACCTGTGTTACGTTCCTTATACCACTGATCATCTGAAATGCTCTTGTACATTTACCTGATTTTAGGTTCTTGACTGTCACTGTTCAGTACAAGAGAAACTTCAAAACCAGGGACCTTGTCTTTCTGGTTTATCACTGTATTCCTAGTTCATGGAACAGGGGCCTAGTGCTGAGCTTGAATGAATGAATGAATGAATACTATGTTAGAGGTGAGCATCAGATGCAAAAAGAGTAGTTAGAAGGGGCAGTAAAGCAAACTGGGGAAGTCAAGTCAGGCTTCCTGGAAGAAGTGGTGCCCAAATTTAGACTTACAGAATGAATAGGGAAGGGAAATCAGGTTGGAAGAGGAAAGTGGTGAAAAACATGACAAGCAGGGTCCCAAATTCAGAAGGCTTGACATGTGTGCAATGACAAGTGGGGAGCCCTGAAGGCTTAGGCAACTGGACACTCTTTCCCAAAACAGGTTATATCACCAAGCAGAATGCCCCAGCTATGTGCATCACATGCCACTAAGAAAGTGAACAAAAAAAAATAGAGTCAGATACCTGTTACCCTCTGGGGTAACCCAACCCTTATGGTCCCTTAGTGGAATTCATGGAGCACCTCGTGGTCCTCTGCAATAATGAGGAGAAATCCAACCTGACAGATGAAATGAGGAAAAAGAAGGAGACTTTCTGGCCAGTATCATTTAAAGGATTATGCCAGTTTATTGCGGTAAGGCACCATTACTGGTGTTTAATGCTAAAAGGCTTCTCCATCCCACCTTCCCTGACTCCCCATGTAAGGTGATAGGTTCGGAAAAAGCAGTCATATTCAGAAATGATGTGCTAAAGTGCTTTTACATTATGGGACCAAACACACTTGGGATTACCATAGATTGATGATAACAAGATTGGATACTCATTAAATTTTGACATGGTCCAGACCAAGTAAATTGAATTTATTTTTGAAAAATTAATTTCAAATGACCAGAATACATTTGATTTTTTATTCTATAGCCAAATTTTACAAAATTTATATATGCATTTATTCCCTCAGACTTGGTGCAGGTGTGGTTGGAATTGTTAATATACCCTTGGAGATCATGGAACCATCCCATAATAAACAGGAATTTCTCAATGTCCAAGAATATAATCATCTACTAAAAGTCATGGGACAGTGCTTGGTCCAGTACTGTAAGGACACCGGGATCAGTGAGTATTCAATAATCATAGTAAGAGATACTTACAGAAGGATCAACTTGTGTGGTTTATTTAAGCTAAAATGATTACGTCGATTTAGGTAACAAGTACCCAAAACCCCGAAAAGGGGTTCCTGCTTTAGAAACATAGGATAAGTGAGAAAGATGCCAGTTTCAGGATATTTCCTTGGGTATCATATGAAAAATAAAGCAGCAGATTAGAAATTGTAAGGAGAGGGCGATCAGGGAGCACTGTGAAGTGGCAGCTGACCACGGAGGAAGGAAGCAGAAGGTTGCTACAAATAGACTGAAAAACCCTCAGAGGACGGACTCTGACACTCTGTTGAGTAAAAGCACAGTCTCACCTAGACCTTAGTAGCTCTTATAGCAGTGTTATATCATGCCATGGAATAATAACTATTGATCTTGGGTAACCGTAGATATGATAAGCTTTGTTTGGTATATTTCACAATTCTTGAGTATATTATTTCCAGAAAGAGTTCAATTAAAAAATCACTAAAATAAACATGTTTGTAAATGTAAAAAGATAAACTTCAGTTATCTGGAAAATTTGACTTTATTCAAATCACCTCAGTCCCAGAGATACCTTAACGATGAGATGGTGTGCCATGCAGTAATTAAATAAACTTTTTCTTAAGTTATGCAGACATCGGGCTTCATTTGTGAAAAGAAATAGACAGGCTACCATGTATTTGTTCAATGATTTGCATGAAGTATGTATAATTCATGCATATCAAAAAATATGTATCTACCCTTGAGACACGTTAAAATCTTACTGCTCCACTTGACGTTGTAATTTTAGAATATTTTCTTTTCTTTTGTGCTCACCCTGCTTGGACCTAAGATTTTCTCACCAGTGAAACAGGGAAAAGTGTAGGAACTCAGAGGAAAAAAGTAAATGGAGGAATGAAGTTGAGGGGACAGATTTCCGGTCAAAGCTGGATTTTCACATCATGATCTATAACCTACTCAGAATGTGGCCTGTGGACCAGTAGCATAGGCATCACCTGGAGCTTGTTAGAAATGCAGGCTCTCAGAGCCCACCTGAGACATATTGAACTAAAATCTGCATTTCACAAGACCTCCAGGTGATTACCGTATATACATTCAAGTTTGAGAAGCCCTGCTCTGAAGGGTATATACCCATGTAATTTTTCTTAGGATGGGCATACTTTTATCACAGGTCTTTTTTTTTTTTTTCAGAGACATATTTGAAGTTACATTAAACATAGAAATGATTACATTATTTGGCAGGGTTTGTATGTTTGTAGAAAACATAGAAAGGTATAAATATAAACATAAATATAAACAGAGTACAGTATAAATCAAATGGCTACTCCTTGGTCTTTAAATCCTAGCATGACATAATACAAAAGGAAGATGTTAAGCATTTGAAAATTGTGAAAGTTCCCATTCTGCTCATATCTTCTCTGTAATCTTTTCCTTGTCTTGCTCATCCTTAGAACAAGGAATTAAGTCCTCTGAAAGAGGTGGGCATTAAGTTTAAAAGTCATAGAAATTACTTACATCCAGCCCACATTTAGGAGAGCCATCTCAGTCCTATTTGTGGGTGGAGCTTTCCCTACGCTCCTTTGCCTGGTGTGTGGGCTCCCTCCCAACAATTGTACTTTTAACTCTAGGGTATCAATTGCCAGTGCCCCCGTCCCACTTTACGTAATGCCTCCATCCTAGTTACCTAGCTACCTTCCCAATGGATGTAATAGAGTTCAAAATAAATGTTATGTAGTTATTTTTATTATTACTGGTTAAGAACATATTGTTTTCCTAATTCCATAATTGTCCTATGAATTGATTTAGGGCTAGAGGACACGCTCACAAAGGATGTTCCTCAAAAGGAAGGCAGGGGATGGAGGAAGGATAGCAAGCATGTTGTGTATTTGTTCATAAATCTGTTCATAAACTTCATCCCAGACTTCAAACTAAATCAAGTCATCAAGATCAGAACTGATATCTCAGTAACTTCTAAGGAGCTTGACCTTTAAGGTCTTTACTTATTAATTCCCACAGGAATAACCAAAGTTAGATAATACTTGACTAATACTCTGAAAGCCAGTATTGCAGGGCACACATTTTTAGTGAAAAGTGTTTGGGTAGATTTTTTTGCCTTATAAATAAAAGATGCAATCTTTGTATTTGCTAAAAATCTGATGTGTTTTTATGAAAATTGGGCCCTTATAAAAATTGAATCAGCAGAAGTGGAGAGTTAATGACTTTGTGTCATTTATCAAATCTGCATTTACTTTTGACACAGTTGATGCAAGAATCCCAGAAATATTTTTCCTGTGGTGAGTCTGACCTCACCTCACTGTCTGCTATTGTGTTTTCTGAAGTTTTGTGTTCCTTACAATAAAATGGAAATACTAATCATCAGCTTTGGGGAGCAAGGAGAGAAGGAGAAAGAAAATATGGGGAAAAACATCAAATAATATTTGAGTTTCAACAGGAATAATTATGTAGAAATTTATTACTAAACTTTTCCAAAATGTTTCAGAATTGAACTGATGTGATAAAACAAAATATATGGTGTAATAAGGCTAACCTTTCACAACAGAATTCAAATCATAGTTCCTCAGTTGGCAGGGAGGCTAAAAATCATTAGTCCAGTCACCTTTAATCTCCTCTGCCTCACTGCCATTTTAAGCCTAAATGAGGGCCTCCCATGAAAGGACAATTGCTACCTCTTGAGGCAGCCTATGCATCTCTGCACAACTCTATTAAAAAATACGTCTTCATATTAAATCCAAATCTACTTCTCATGTGTTTTTAATTCATTCAACTGTGCTAGGTATGAGTGTTCTAGGACTAACAAATCAGACGGGGTCTGTCCTCTCTGGGAACTTACAATCTAGCAGGATGCTATGGTCTGAGTGTTTGTGTCCTGTCAAAATTCATATGTTGAAATTCTAACCCCTGAGATGAGGTGGGACCTTTGGGGGTGATTAGGTTATAAGAGCAGAGCCTTTGTGATTGGGATTAGTGTATTTATAAAGGAGGCCCAAAAGAGGCCCTCGCCCCTTCCACCACATGAGGTTAGAGTGAGAAGACACCCATCTGTGAACCAGGAAGCGAGCCCTCACCAGACTCTGACTCCGCCAGTGCCTTGATCTTGGACTTCCTACTGTCTGGAACTGTGAGAAATAAATTTCTGTTGTTTATAAGCCATCCAGTTTATGGTATTTTGTTATAGCAACCCGAATGGACTAGGATATAGGCTAACATAATTTGACAAACAAAAACATGATTGGTGCCCAACAGAGAAGAATGAAAGCTGCAGAAGCCAGTGGCTGGGAGCTCACAAGCCTGTAGACTAGGGAAGGCCTCCCTGAGGAAGTGATATTTCCTAAAGGATGAGGAGAAGTTGGCCGGGCCTACTTAGTTCTTACTGCTTGGGCCCATGGAGGATAGGCCTAAAGCTTTTCCAAATGACAGCCCTCCAGATATTTAAAGACAAGATTATATCTTTCCTCAGTCTTGTTTTATCTTGACTAACATTTTCAAGTTTTATCACTATTCTTCATTCAACATGGTATTAAATATATTCACCATTGTAGTATCGTATCACCTAGAAACGAAATATTCAGGATGAAACTTGAACAGCCTTAATTGAAATAGGATCATCATCTTTCTTTGAGTTGTTATAATCCTGTTGGTGCAGCCTAATAATGTATTAACTTTCAGTAAGCGCATATTGATACTTAGTGTCTTTTTTTTTTTTTTTTTTTTTTTGACAGAGTCTGGCTCTGTTGCCCTGGCTAGAGTGCTGTGGCGTCAGCCTAGCTCACAGCAACCTCAAACTCCTGGGCTCAAGCCATCCTCCTGCCTCAGCCTCCTGAGGAGCTGGGACTACAGGCATGCGCCACCATGCCCGACTAAGTTTTTCTATATATTTTTAGTTGTCCAGCTAATTTCTTTCTATTTTTAGTAGAGACAGGGTCTCGCTCTTGCTCAGGCTGGTCTCGAACTCCTGAGCACAAACGATCCACTGGCATCGACCTCCCAGAGTGCTAGGATTACAGGCATGAGCCACAGTACCCGGCCCTATCCTTGATAAATTTTATCAACTTATCAGACTCCATTCTTTCAGGTTGTCAGGTCCTTCCTTTGAATCTGATGCTGACTTCTATGAAATGTGTTATATCTCCAGATTTATGTGAAGTCTGGCTAGTATTTTCTCTGTGGTTTCGTGTAAATGTCACATAGGACAGGAAAATAAAGCACTGTGGCTCCACTGGTGAACTCTACCGCGGTGAAAATGGGTGTTTGGGGCACTGGGTGAGGATAATTAAACAATTGCAACTTTTCCTAATCGTGTTGTCTCCTAACTCGTATCGATTTCCCTGTTTGTGCATAATTTTGAAAGTGAAGAATAATATTTGTTAGATGAATATTTTCTTGAAAAAGAGATAATGCTCTTATACCTGGACATAGCTGGCTGCTCACCACAAAATTGTTTCCCTTTTGATGTACTTTTAGTCTCTAAAATCTCAGAAAGGCACTACAAGAAAAATGAAATATATTAATAACATCTCTGCTAGGGATACACATTGAGTGAGGAGGCTTAGGTAAATATTAAAAGGTGAGAATATGAGACAAGTTTATTTGAAGATGTAGACTGAGAAATAATTCTTACCCTTTTTTAATTCAGCTTTTGAAGTTCCATAACTTTATGTTTTTATTTTAAGATATTAAATTATAAATATTATGTTTTATGTTTTACCTTTAAATTTATCATCATGTTGTGGGCTAAATTTTGTCCCTTTCAAGTTCATACACTGAAGCCCTAACTCCTAGTAGCTAAGAATGTGACCGTATTTGGAGATCGGGCCTTTAAAGAGATAATTAAGTTAAAATGGAGTCATTAGGGTGGGCCCTAATCCAGTCTGACTAGTGTCCTCATAAGAAGAAGAAACTTGGACACACAAAGAGACACCAGGTGTGGGTACACACAAAGGAAAGACCATGTGAGGACAA